TAAATTGTAAAGTACAAGACACACCAAAAATTTAGTATAAGTGTCTTTAAACTATTGATATTGTTTAGATTCCATAGTATACCTGCCATCTGTTGAATTGTGGTATAATGTCAAAGAATAATGTTTATTATTATTAATGTTCAGTTTCCCTGCAACAAATCTGTAGAAAACTACAAACCATAGTCTGCAATGACTGAATGAAGAAACAGCTATGAGAATTAAGCTATCATAAGCAAAATGTGCAAAGATCGTTTAAATATAGGTGTGATATTGCTAACAAGTAATGAGCTTACTATTGTTCTTTTTAATTGTATTAATTGAGATGACCTTAAATACACCTCAGTTTTAATTTTCACCATGATACATGTAGACATAAACTTTTGTATATTTTCCATATATCCATCCACACATCCTCCTACGTACATAACCTGGAGGCAAAAGCTCATATAATTCTTAAGAGTGTGGCCTGATCCCAAAATGTTTGAGATCTGCTGATTGCTGACCAGATCCCATTTCTTAACAGTGTTCCACTGGGCAGGGCAATCCTTCCCAGACACATTCATAGGTGTGGTTTATTTCTGCACTCCCAGGATTAGATTATTCTTGCCCACCCATGGACACTGTTAATTCTTTCAATTTCATTTTCCCCAAGAGTTAGTTTTTGTTATTATTGCTATTCTTCCTCTGAGCCCAGAATTACAATATCACTAGAATTAGAGGAGAACAGTAGACTGTGAAGAAATACAAGAAAGTTGACTAACTTCTTGAATATAATTTAGTTCTATATTTGGATTTCAATTTAAAATGACTTTTGAATAAAATTCTTTTCATGTATAAGATTTTAGATCACTCCTACAGATGTTATTTTCAAAATATATACAAGTATATATTAAAAAATATAAAATCTACATATAGCAATTGTTAGTAATATAGTTGGCATTATTTCACTAATACTCAGGATTCAAACAATCTGATTGTATGAAGTCTCCAAATACATTCAGAAAGAAGATAGACTCCTCTCTTTATTATAAAATGTATTTATAATTTACAACATTTCACTGATATATGAACACATGCCATATTACAGGAGGTATTGGCAGCTTATGGCTGGCCCAGAGGACCTTATGTCCCTCAGGGTGACTTCTTAGCTTGCCCATTATAGTCTGAATGTGGCCATGGGTAGCATGCCAGTGTATGAGACTGGCTGCTTTGTTCATATGTATTGAAATGTGAACATGATACAGTTTTCAAGGATCGAAAATGTTACTATGCTTTTGATTTTTTTTCAGTGATTTAGAATGTAAAATATCAGTATTGTCTCACAGTCTGATATAGACTGATCTGGCACATATCTGGCACGGTGCTGACTCCTGTTTTAGAGCACATTTTGAAAGTATTGACATAGTTTTAGATAGAAAACAGACTTAAACGCATTCTTCTCTGTGCCATCAAATGGTTCATAATATCTCATTTTCCTTGCTAATATAGAATAGACAATTTCACAAAAATAATTTAATCAGCTGTAGCTCATTTGTTGCAGCTTGGATGGACTGGCTCAGGTGAGCCCATTGTGCACATCTGGATACACTCTGTCCAGTTACCTCATATTGGTAGCCTGAAATTGGCTAAGGTGTGAATATCCATACCACAGAATTTATTAAACACTGTAAATAAGGACTTTTTCTCCCCCATGGAAATCGGTAATTAAACCTTTGCCAATACATAATTAAAATACTTATGTGGATTATTATTGCTCTGTAAATAATAGCACAAAAGTGACTTCAATCAAGTAACTTTATTAACAAAGTGTGAAGCCATTTTACACTGAAGATATGTTATGAATGCCATTTTGTTTTTGCCTATTTTTCAACACTTTAGTACATTTAAAACTGAAAATCATAACTAGGATGAAAAGAGTTCAAGAGACAGGCAGATAAATTTTCCATAAATGCAGGATAAAAATAGAATTTCCAGTGCAACTGAACTATTGGCATAGCTAATCAATTTGGTATTTTGAAAGTTTCTGAAAACATTCTGCACAAATATCCAAACTGCTTTTTATAATCTTCCCTAGACTATAGTGACTATAGACTATTGTGCATACTTTTACCTATTGTCATTCTATATTATGCTTAAAGTTGAAAAACACAGAAAAATGGAAACAAGATCTCACATCAGTAGTAAACAAAAAGTGATAATGGAAAAAAAATCCTTATTCAGTAAAATCTTTTGTATAGCAAGAAATCTACATTAGGAATAATAACCAACACAGAGATCATACTAAATTGAAAAACAGAAAGTCAGAAAAGCTTGTCGTTAACTTTAATTTATTTTAGAACTTTTGGAAAACACTGATTTATCTACACTATATTGAATTCGGCTCCAAATAACACATATTTTTCTTATTTTACTTACTATGATGATATCCAAATTTGTGTTGGATTTCAGCCTCCCATATTTTCTTTCACTTTTACAACATTTTGTATTTTCAGCATAACTAATTTTTATGAAAATCTAACATGGCTTCCATGATATATTTTACTCTATTGCTGACTGATTTGCAGTTTCTGTTTCTCCATTTATCCCTTGCATATTAGCTGAAGATACAGCCTACACATTTACCATAGCAATATACTCAGATTTCATTGATTTGTGGGTACTGATGATAGCCATTCAACTTAATCAAATCTTCCATGTGCTTCAAATATCACATATATGTATATATATGCTTCTGTATGTATGTGTATATTTATCTCTAGTTATATTTGTTAAACAGAGTGCTAAAGTCAATAAGTTTACATATGGACTTATTAATTTGCTTCTTAATCCATTTTACTTTTTGCATTTCCTATTTCAGATAAAATAATCTATTTCAGAAGGTTTTAAAATGCTCTTAACCCATACACAAGAGGCATAAACTTCACTGCAATCAAACAGCCACAATTTTTATAAGGGAGGTATGCAGAAAGGCATATTAAAATGTCTTGCTTGTGGAGGGAATAAGAAAACTTAGAAAATGCATAAAATGACAAATCTAATGGCAGTGCTTAGAAGGAAATTTATTGTTGTGAAAACCTGTATTAAAAAAGATGAAAATCTCCAAATCAATAACCCAGCTTTTCACTCTAGGGAAATCACAATAAATAGGCAATACATAGAAATAAAGAAATAATGATGATTACAATGTGAAAATGAAATCAGAGAAAAATAAAAAAAATCAGAAACATGAAAAATTCTTTGAGTGTATACATATTAAGATTTATTGGAAAAATGAAGGACCATCCACAGAATAGAAGGAAAAATGTGTGTATTATACATACAATAGATAAAAGACAAGCATTCAGAATATAAAAAGTCATCTTAACAACTCAATAATAAAATAAATAAAAAGTGTGGATTTCAGTAGACATCTGCACAAAGAACATGCAATTGACAATAAGCACAAGATGTGATGGTCAACACTGTGAGTAATTAGGAAAATGTAAATCAAAACCATAGACACCACTTTGCACCTACTTAGATGAACACAAAAAATGGCAAGCATCGGTGACGATGTGGAATGACTGAAACTGTCATTCATGACTAATGGAAATATTAAATGAAGCAATCTCTTTGGAAAACAGTTTGGCATCTCCTAAAGAATTTTAGAACCTTTTTATTCATCAATCCCATGCTTCAGTATATACTCATTAAAATGGAAAACACATGGCCACATAGGAAGGGTGCATGGATGTTCACAGAAGTATTATTCCCAAGTCTTTAAAGTGGAACAACACAAATGCCCATCAAACGATAATGGACTAAACAATGTGATATACACACATTACTAGTATTTCAACTTTGATGCACCTGATGACTGTGGGCTAAGTGAAAGAAGCCACACGGACCACACATTATATGATTCGGTCTACAAGAAATCTCCAGAACAGGTGCAGCTATTGAGAACAATAGCAGATTATAAAAACCTATAAAGATAAACTGCCTAGGGACAGATCATGAAGAGTGATTAGTAATTGATACTTTGTTTTTTGGGGAGGTAGAAAAATATCCTCAACTTAGGTTGTGGAGATGGCTGCACAAATTTGGAATATACTAAAAAACAATGAAAAATGCCAATGAGTTATTTGTAAATGTAGTTTTAATAGGTTATTAATCTTCAGGGTTATTTTTAATTTAAGTATGATTTATTGTAAGAACTTATGTAAATGCCACAGCGTATCCCCACCCACCACAATAATAAAAAAATTAAAAAAAAAATCTATAATTATAGATTTTTGTTCTTAATGATTTAAGTATTAAGCCAAAATTCAAGCATTGTTATAGCAGAAATATTGGAACAAATGTTTGTTTTTTGTGGCATATTTTCCTGTAGCATCTCTTTTTGATGTACTTTTATCCAGACCTCAAATAGATAAGTACAACTTTTTTAATTTCACTGACAAGTCAGTACATCTTAATATACCAAATCTAAAACTTGCTTTCCTAAATTGGTTCAGACACAAATCATTTTAATAGTCTATCATCATTCATATTAAATATTAGGAACATTTATAATAATTTCAAGATATCTATGGTATTCTAATGCTGGTCATAGAAAACAAACCTTGAATTCTATTAGTTGAAGATTACATAAAGAGGAACTTTAGTTAGTACTTATTTCACATGATCACCATTTAAATGTGGCCCTCTGTGTGTTTTGTTCACTGTGACACTATTTTTAGCTGATGTCAACTCAGAGTAAGTTAAAATGATCTCTTGATTATGATACTGAAAGAAAAATAAGAAAAGTGTTATTATGTGTGTTCCCCATTGTGTTATTACCCTGGAAAATAACTGCAATTTATTATTTTGAGACTTAAGATAATACGCTGTTTTTAAATGATCTCTAATAGTATAAATATCATGGTGCTATGTGTAGTACCACAACTGCACTCACAAAAATCCATAGGATTTATCTGTCACAATATACCCTCTGGTGCCTACCTTCCCACACATCTTACCGTTGTCTTGGCAAGCTGATGAGCGGCTGTTTGTGGCACCTCTTACTAAGGCTGAAGAGCTTATGCACAATCTTCTGTGCCTTTATGAACAGTTGTTGCATGCTGTTTTCCAGTTGTTCATAGCGGCGTTGAAAATTAGAATCCATTGTCCACAAGTGCATTATGGTTGATGTGTTGAGGAAATAATTCATGGGGAGCCTTTTCATAAAGAACTTGAATTCATCTGAAAAAAATATTAAAATTCAACATTTAATAATTATAAAACAATTATTTTCTCCTTTCCCAAACACATTTAATATGTTTAAATGCAAATAATATGACTGATTCCTTGTGAGTAACAAATTTCTAAAAGGAACTGTGAATGCTTTAGGGTTGTTTTTCTTCTTGATCCTCTTAAAATAGAATTTTCATGGAAGAAGAAAATTTAAAATAATTTGTGTGAAAGTAAATAGTTTAGACAAATAGATCTCCTTTTGATAGTATTTGAATAAACCTTTTCTAATACATAGTAGTCATTAATCTAGCTTTTATTTTTGGCAGTGTAAGTAATTCTCTCCAATTGTTTTATATTGAAGAAATAATGTCGGAAACATCCATTAACTCAGCATAGATCTTATATAACATTATTACTAAATGGTTTTCTTCAATGTTTAAAGAAAAAAGAAAGCTATTTAAAGACAATTGTAATTTTCACATATACGTTCTGTTCTCTATAACTGGCCATATTCTAATTTGTCATAACATCATAGTTTAAAACAAATGTATATCAAAGAAAAATAACACTGAAAATATTGAAAGTTCTAATATTGGCTGTTGCTTTTTTGTCAATAACTATCCTGCCTGAAATTGCTGTGTCTCTAAATGCCTAATTAGCCAACAGTAAAAGAATAAAATTTGATGCTAAGCTAAAAATAAATGACAATATAAAAGTCTGTCATCTAAAAACACAAGATTCTCAAGATAGTCAGAAAGAGGAAACACCCAAACTCTCCATCAAAGGAAAAAAAAAAACGTAGAAAATCTGATACAAAAATACAATAGAAAATGATTCAGTTATAATAATGAAGGTCTTACAGTATAGGTGAACCTTGAAAAATTAAGCCAAACAAAAAGAGGATAAACACAACATCATTTCACTTACATGCAATATCAAGAATAGTCAAATTCACAGAAACAGAAAGTAGATCTGAATTTGCCAAGGACTGGGTGGTGGAAGAATAGGAAGTTATGTCAAAATAGTTTTAGTGTTTCTGTCCGGGTTAAGAAAAAGTTTTAGAGAAGAAAGACAGCAATAATTAACATGAATGTAATTAATACCACTAAATTATAGATTAAAATAAACTAAAATTGCAATTTTATCAGATATATTTATTATAGTAAAAAATACCAAAAAATGTATTTAAACATTTTCTCTTACCTTGTTTTTTCTGACGTACTTATTATGAGCAGGGTCTCAAGTTATAAACATTTTATTTTTTTCAGTACTGGTTTAATGGGTATGATATTTTTTGTATCATTTGCACCCATTCTCACATACTACTGTGTTTCCAGGAAAACACACACACACACACACACACACTCTCTCTCTCTCTACAAGATTTAGAAAACATTTTCAATGGCTAAACAAGTTTTATGTGGTTATCTGGCAAGTCAGGAAAACCACATTTTGATGGTAATGGGGTTTGAACACAGTCTTGTTCTTGCTAAGCAAGTATTATATTACTTGAGCCATACTCCAAGTTATTATTCATTAATTTGTCCCCCAAATATTATATAGTATGCATTAAATGTCAGCCTCTGTGTACCTTAGTTTGCTCCTATGTGAATGAATTTGTACCATAGGACAATTTGACTTAACTTTGAAATCCTGTGATATTATGGGTAGTTATTCTCAAATGCTCATATAATTAATCTAAATATCCAGCTTAAAAATACTTTTTCTCAAAGTTCAGTTCTAACTAATATATTATTATTGAGCTAAATTTGTACTAAGTGTGCCAATAGCCATTGCGTGTAGGCACTGTCTCTGTTGCAGTGCATTAAAAATCACTAAATTACTGTAAAATTTTCTTAAAATATGCCACTGACATGTGATAAAGTAAATCATGTTACTGTAATGCATATTTGAATCACCGAGTTTATGTTACATATTAAAGAAATTTTAGTATGTAGGTCCAATCTATTTCATCAATACAGGGAAATATAACTTTTTAATAATTCACAGCAAATTATATACATTGATCTTTGGGTTCTTTCCTCTGCAGCAGTTAGATACATCTGGCATTTTTTGGACATTAAGGGTGTAAGACTTTTGCTTGAAGAAAAAGATAGAATTAAAAAAATAAAATAAAGTGCTTTTAATAGCGAAAACTTGTTGGAAAAAATATTGCAGGGCATATCCATTTTATATGCTTGAAATCACTTTTAAATAAGCAGAGTATAAATAATAGATGAATCTTAGCATTCTGATTTGACAATATTCTATATTTTGCTTGGTCCCATATGTCTCTTTGAGAAATTCCCTCTTTTGAATAAAGTATTCATGCATGGAAATTGGAAAGCATTCATTAGATTACTCACAGAGCAGATGCCACTACTTTGAAAACTAATCATTCATTTCATTGTCATATTTTACTTGAACACTTCTGATAAGACTTTATAGTATTGTGGGTATGCATATTTAATTACATTCATTATTTATCATAATTGTATTGGGAAAAATTTTAAATGGTAACTTTTATTCAAGCCAAAGAATATTTTAAAGTAGAACTTATTTGTTTTACCAGGGCATGTAATAGTGTATGTGTACTGAAAATTGCCAGTGTGTAATTCGTATAAAACAGGGTTTTAACATGACAGTTGAATAATTGCTTCATTATGAAGTCATTAAGAGTCACCATTGACAGTCACCCACAACATTTATTGAACACCTGTTGTGCAAGAACATACAGATGTTTCAGTCTATGACAGCAAATATGGATAAACCTTTCATCTTATTTTAAAAGATGACTAATTAATGATATGCCATATTTTCAATTGCTAAAACATCTTCAGTGACTGGAAGTTATTGTACTTAGCAGTCAATAGAATCCCCAGGAATATTCCCATAGATTTCTTTCCATTTTACAATTAGTAAAATTCATATTTATAGATAATATAATTGAAATTTGAATGACATTAAATAATTATATCAATCAATGACTTACATAATTACAAAGATAAAATACAATAGTTAGAGATGCCAAGTAATATTTTATATTACAATAATTTTCTAGACTATTTGTAATAAATTGTCAAATGAAAAATAGCTATCCACAATTTGGGTGTATATACAGGAATATGTAAAAGAAAAATCAATATTATGTAAAATCACTCTGAAAACTGAATTTATGTATATGTTATTAGAAAGATACTATTGCAGAAATATCTGCCTTTTAAGTATGTGTCAAATTAGTACTTTAGCAAGGCATAGATTTGAGGACTGTAGAGAAATAAAGAAACAAAAATAGAAAAGATAACGATATTAGTAAACATTTTCTACGCTGGTAGAAATTTGTAGTCAGTCTCAGGCTTCCTAACAAAGCTAATTCACAGTAAGCAAAGTAATACACAGGGAGATGTATTGTTTTAATGAATTTTGTGGAAGCAAAGAGAATCAACCTAGAAACTACAATAAACTATGAATGATTAGTTTGAGACTATATTAGCACTCCAAAATATTTAATTTTCTAAATTAAAATGAGGTATCATTTTTTTAAATATCTGGACAAAGCATGCTGATTTTTTTCCCTTTTCCTTGATAGAAATTCAAGTTAAGGTTTGATATCTAATTAACTAATTTTGAAACTAGTCATTTCCTTTCTGTTCCTCCTCCTGTTCTTCTTTCCGGTCCTTCTTCTTCCTTCTCCCCGTTTTTCTTTATCTCTTTCCAAAGTTTCTCTTTTAAGCACTTTAAATATTAACTCAATTTATCTAATAAATTGAGCAAATTTTATGGTAGGGTTTTGTGTGCCAGATGCATATAATCCTTGGTTTCATAACTTTATTATTATCACAAAGTTCTATTAAAACTACTGTATTTACAGAATTATACTATTATTTACATCTTTATGCTCTTTATACATATGTTTCACAATTGAATCAAATGTACACAGGTAGGGAAAAATTAGGCAATATGAAAACATCAGTCATTTATGCATATATCCTCACTGGTACTTTTATTATGTTTGTCTATTTAGTGAGCATGAAAAATACTGACCAATATTGTGATTCTGTATTTTCAAATAGTCATAATGTCTATTTTGAATTGTTTTTGAATGTATTTTCATAATTATTTTAAAGCTTTTAGACATTTTAATGTTTTTTGGAGCTCTGAAAGCATATAATTTACTTCCTTAAAAGTAGAGTATTTTGTTTTATTATCTCGAAATGATTTCTTGAGTAATAAATTCACCTAACTAGTCCAAAACAGAGGCTGTTAACATTGAAAACTGAGGCTGTCTATTGAAAAGTAGACTGAAAATAGCAAGGATTAAAGGAAGAAATCGGTGCTTTTATGATTTATCTTGATGCATGTGGATTTTTAGATTGATTAAAATTTAAATCAATATTGTAAATAAATAAGAAAACATAACAAAATACTGCTGTATTGTCAATACCCAATGTATACCTCTTTAAAAAGGTTGAGGAAATAATTCCATTCACAACAGCCTTAAAAAATACCTATGCATGAAATTAATAAATGATATTAAAGACCTTTATAATATAAATTATAAACACTGATGAAAGGAATTGTGGAAGTCAATATATGGTGAACAGATCACCTATATTCAAAGATCAGTAGGATAAATATTGTCAAATATCCATAATACCTAAAGCCATATAGAGATCCAATTTAATCCACATCAAAACTGAAATGATGAAATAGAAAAATGTCCTAAAATTCATATGTAAATACAAAAGATCAATAGTAAAGAGAGCAATCCTAAGCAAAAAGAGCAATGCTGGAAATATGACAATATCTGACTTCAATCTACATTAGATAGATACAGGAACAAAAACAGCACAGTATTGGCACCAAAACATACATTGGTCTATGTATCATTTTTTGTTCCACTGCCATGCTGTGGAACAGAAATAAGTCAGCTACTCCCTCTGATTCATGGTAAAGATGCCAAAAATATATATACCACTCTTTAACAAGTGGTGCTGTGAAAACTGGAT